TGGTGAAAGCGCGGGAGGGGCTGAGTCCCCGGGCACAGGGGACGCAGTGGAAGCGGGGGCCTGAGGTGGCTTGAGGTGGCCCGGGTCCCGTGGTGCCGCAGGGGCCGCCAAGGAAATGGGGAGCGGCGGCCCCGCAGTGCCGGACCCCGCGCTCCTGCTGCTCCTGCTGCTCCTGCTGCTGCTGAGCGCGGGGAGCTTCCCACACAGCCTCCAGGGCTCCCCAGACTTCCAAGGCCTCGGGCTGGACTGGGGAAGGTTCCACGACCGCCGCCTCCTCAGCCTAGATCGGGGAAGGTTCCACCAGGACACCAGTCACCACAGGAGCAAGGCGAAGAAGCTGTATTCCTGCGAGGGCGCCTTCGACCTCTACTTCATCTTAGACGCGTGAGTGACCCTCCCACCCTGGCCTGGGGTGCTCCTCATGGTGCCTCCGTCTTCAAGGTCACTGCTGGAAGGAAGTGGCCCAAGGGGACCCCAGCCTCTGAGAAGGGAGAGTGGGAGGTCCAGTCTTCGTCAGACCCGAAAAGCAGACCTCTGTGGCCGCCTCATTCCTGAGGCAGCAGGAATGCCTCAGGCGTTTGTTCCCTGAAGCTTTTTCATTTGGAAAGGAAAAAAGGCCACCAGAGGGTTTCTGGATGCTTCCCTGTCCTCCACCAACTCGGCCTGGATCTGTGACCTGCATGCCCGTTAAACAGCTGGAGGGGACCTGACGGCTGGAGCTGCCTTCTCAGCAGTTGTACAAGCTCACTGAGGGCTTTGGTTTTGTTTTTGTTTTGTTTTTTGCCCAAATGTCTTCTGTTTTTTCTGGGCCCCCAAGAGATTGCTGTGTTGTCTGTTGGGCGTTGTCACGGTGTCAATACTTAGAAGGTCCTTTGCTTTGTGGCTTTTAAGTGTTTTGCTTCTCTTCGCCAATCTGGAGACCCACGTTACGGTGCATGTGCACTTTCAGTACAGTTTGGTCTGTCTGGCTGTGGCCCTGGGAAAGCTGGGCTGTGCCTTAGGCGCCTTCTGGCCCTCTAAGAAGGAAAGTGGAGGACGGGGGTCTCCAGGCTTGGAGGCATTGCCGTGGTTCCATTTTCAACTCCGTTGGGCTGAAAATAAACTTTACTTATTCAGTAGTAATAGTGGTATGACTGTCAATATGGTTGAAGGTCTTTCCAGTTTATAAAGCCTTTTCACTGCACTTCTGTCATCCTCAAAACAATCCAGGGATGTAGAGTAGGAAAGGTGTTTGTGTATGCAATCTCCTGGAAAGGGAGGTGGCTCCTAGAGGTGGGAAGAAGTAGCCCAGAGGCCGGTGGTGGTGACAGGACTCGGCTTCCTTGACTGCCCTCATCCAGCATTCCGGGTTGTACAGCCCCTGATCCTCTTATTCTACCTGGAGACTTATGTTGGGGGGATGCATGCCCAGCCCACCAGCTTCCACCAAAGCCCTCAGAGCTGGGAGCCACCCTGCCCACTGGAAGAGAAGTCTCTCCTCACTGTCCAGTGAGGTACTTCTGAGATGCCCTGGGCAGGTCTTGTCTGGTTGATCCTTAGCACAGCCCAGGGGGGTGGTAAGTCCTCTCTTGGGCATTGGGGTTGGGGAATGGTGGGCCTTGTGTGGGGCTGACAGCCTCTTTGGGTCAGTCTTGCCAGAGAGTGGCAGTGAGTCCAAAGGGTCCTCCCAGCTGCCATCCTGTTATAGCACCCCCGCCCACACCCCCAGTGTCTGCTGTTAGGCCCAGTGTGGGCACAGCCCAGCCCTGGTATGGATCAAGGAGGGTTCTGGGTACAGGGGGGATGTGAACTAATATTCATTGAGCCTTTACTAGGTTCCGGGGATGTGCTGAACACTTAGACCTCCCATAGCTTGAGGGAGTAGATTCTACTTCCCTATTTCCGGGTAATGAAACTGAGGCTGGGAGGGGCTAGTGATTTGTTCAGTGTCATTCAAAGCTGGTTTGGTGCAAAACATTAGAAAGTGGGAGGCTGCTCCCCTTTCGTCTCTCTAAGGAGGGCCTGAGTTCAGAGGAAGAAAAAGTTGCCATTCTGAAGAGGTGACCGTGTTTCCTAGACCAGAAGGTGAGGGGCTCAGGTGGGATGTTCTTTGAGCAGAGGAGGTGTGTGATTGGATAGTGTTCTAAAAGGATCACAGTTGAAGGTCACAAGGGCACAGCCCACTGGGAGACCAGTGAGGGGGCTGGGAGGGATCCAGGAGGAGTGGAGGGTGGTGTGGACCAGTAGGGTAGGGGTGGAGATGATGAGTGGCCAGACTCTGGATCTGTTTTGAAGGTAGAGGCCACAGGATTCCAGACAGATTGGATAGGGGAGGCCAGGTGTGGCCCTAGATGGGGGTGAGGGTCAGAGTGGAAAGCAGCCTCATCACTGTGTCTTCCTCACAACTGTGGGTAAATGTCATCACTCCTATTTTACAGATGAGGGAAGGAGGCCGCTCAGAGCCAGAGAATGACCCACCAAAGTCCTCAGGAAGACATGAAGCTAGAATGGAGACTCTGGAATGTCTGATTCCAAAGCCCATTCCAAAGACTCCAAGGCTGGGTGGGTTCCTGAGAATCTTGGAGCGAAACCAATCTGTCACCTGCAGGAAGCTCTTGAGTGGTTCACTCCCAGCTTATTCACTAGATTCGTTATTCATTTGCTGCTTCAGTAGACTGAATTGGATGAAAAGGAGTGAGCCCTCCCATGTGTCTGCAGTATTGGCCAGTGGCCTTTGAGGGCCAGGGAGGCCCAGGCTGCGGGAGTGGCCTGTGCACAGGCCTGAGCAATGAGGCCCTCAGGTGATCCCAGAGGATCCGAGTGTGAGGAGGAAGGGGGAAAAAGGAGAAAGAGGGAGGGAGATACGCTGATGGTGGGGGCCCTGGGCCCACATAGGAGGTGTGTTCTTCACTTCAAGGGCATTTTGGGGTCAGTGAAAGTAAGGCTTCTATCAGAGGAGAGATGGATCAGATCTGTGTTTTCGAAAGAGCCCCTTAGCTGCCTTGGGGAGGATGGATTGGAAGGGGGAGGATGGAAGCAGCAGCTAGCATGAAAAGGAGAAGGGACTGAGAGATCCCAGGAGGCCTGAGAGACTGGGGAAAGGCAGGTAGGAGCCCTGAGACAGGTGTGCCCAATGAGAGGAGAATGGGGAGACAGACCCCAGGGGAGCTTCCACATGAGCAGCATGTGTGGAGGAAGAGGGGCTGGTGTAGAGGAGAGAAGCAGAGCTTCAAGATCCATCCACACCAGGCACAGAGGCTGTGCAGGATGCTCCTTAGAGAGTGTCTTGGCTTCAATACCTGTGCAAGGGAATGGGTGGAAGTAGGATTAAGTGGAGCTTCAATGCAGGCCTGGTAGCCTCAGCTGACCCATGGGGAGCTTTGGACCTGAAAGGCTCCCTTGGGATTGTATCATGTTGGGCCAAATGACTGGGCCATCCCTCAATGCAGGTGGCTGTCTCAGGAAGAGCGTGACCTTGGCAAGGCAACTCTGCAGATGAGGGGTTCCCAGAGTGGATGATAGCTGAAGGGGCATCCTTGAAGGAGCATTTGGATTCAGCACGTTCATGTCCTTCACAGCCTCTCCTCCAGCCCTGGTGAATGGAAGAATAGAGCTATGCGGGCCGTTGATCTGTGTTCCCCTTTTGGTGGGCCATCCTGTGTCTCTTATTTTCTCCTTCTCAGGACCCCCCACAACCCCCTACGTGCTATGGCTGGGAGGCAGAGGGCATTGAAACCTGTACACATTAAACAATAACTCCCCATTCATCCCTCCCCAACCCCTGGTAGCCTCTATTCTATTTTCTGTATCTGTGAATTTGCCTATTCTAGGTACCTTGTATAAGTGGAATCATACAATGTTTGGCATCTTGTGTCTGGCTTATTTCACTTAGAAAAATATTTCAAGGTCCATCCATGTTGTAGCACGTATCAGAATTTCATTCCTTTTTATGGCTGAATAATATTCCATCATATGTATATACCACATTTTGTTTATCTGTTCATCTGTTGATGAGCATTTGGGTTGTTTGCACTTTGGGACTATTGTGAATAGTGCTGTGGTGAACACTGGTGTACATGTATCTGTTTGAATCCCTGCTTTTATTACTTTTGGGCATATGCCTAGGAGTGGAATTGCTGGATCACAGGGTAATTCTACGTTTACCTATGTTAATTATGCCATACTGTTTTCCACAGTGGCTGCACCATTTTGCATTCCCACAAGCAGTGCACAAGGGTTCCAGTTTCTCCACATTCTCTCCAGCACTTATTTTCCAAGTTTTGTGTTGTTTTGTTTTGTCATTTGATAATAGCCATCCCAATAGGTGTGAAGTGGTATCTCATTGTGGTTTTGATTTGCATTTCTCTAATGATTAGTGATGTTGAGCATCTTTTTCTGTGCTTGCTTATTCGCCATTTGTGTATGTTCTTTGGAGAAATGTCTATTCAAATCCTCGCCCATTTTTGAATTCAGTTGTTTTTTGTTGTTGAGTTGTAGGCATGCTTTATATGTCTGGTTATCAATTCCTCATCAGATATATGATTTGCAAATATTCTCTCCCATTCTATGTGTTGTCTTTTCGCTTTCTTGGTAATATCCTTTGCACAGAAATTTTTTAATTTTCATGAAGTTTGGTTTATCTATATTTTCTTTTATTGCCTGTGTTCTTGGTGTCATATCCAAAAAACCATTACCAAATGCAATGTCATGAAGCTTTTTCCCTATGTTTTCTTTTAAGAATTTAATAGTTTTAACTCTTACATTTAGGCCTTTGATCCATTTTGAGTTAATTTTTGTATATGATGTAAGGTAAGAGTCCAATGGCATTCTGTTGGATGTGGACATCCAGTTTTCCTAGCACCATTTGTTGAAAACACTGTCCTTTCCCACATTGAATCATCTTGGCACCTTTGTTGAAAATCAATTGAACGTATATATGAGGGTTTATTTCTGGGCTCTCCCGTCTATTCCATTGGTCTATATGTCTCTCCTTATGCCAGTACCACATTGTTTTGATTATTGTAGATTTGTAATTCTGAAACCAGAAAATGTGATTCCCCCAACTTTGTTCTTATTCAAGATTTTTTTTAGCTGGTTGAAGTTCCTTGAAATTCCATATGAACTTTTGGATGGATTTTTCAATTTCTCCAAAAACAATGCTATTGAGGTTTTAATAGAGATTGCACTGAATCTGTAGATAGCCTTGGTAGTATTGTCAGCTTAACAATATTAAGTCTTCCAATCCATGAATATGTGATGTCTTTCCAATGACTTATGTCTTCTTTAATTTCTTTCAGCAATGTATTGTACTTCTCAGTGTAGAAGTTTTTTGCCTCCTTGGTTAAATTTATTCATAAGTATTTTGTTCTGTTTGATGCTGTTGTAAATGGAATTGCTTTAATTTC